TGGGCTGGGTGAGGTGTGCACCCTGCAGAGCAGAAAGAGGATTTTCCAGGAACGGGCAAATCCTGAAGGCTGGTGGTTGCTAAAGCGGGCAGGAGGGAGAGGCCTGGATGGAATTGGTCTCCTGGGATTGATCCAGTCCTTGGAGCAGAACCTTGTCTGCTCTCCCATCCTGCGCCTGCAGGGATGGGGGGACGGTTTGGGAGGGCTGTGGGAGCAGCGTGGTGGGAACATGGAGCTGAGCGTTGTCCCCTCTCCAGAACGGGCTGATGGTCGCCTGCTCCAAGGGCTTTGTGGACATTGTGCCGCTGCTGCAGAGGTGTCCCTACATCAACGTCAACCAGCAGGACAACGACGGGAACACGGCCCTGATGATGGCTGCCCAGGCAGGTCAGCACTGCATCCCTCAAGAAGGGATGTGACCCCCTGTGCTTCCCCCAAAAACCCTAAAAGGGCCTGCGGTGAGAGCTGTGCTGCCAAGGGATGTGTGACACCAGCTGCATTCATGGTTCAGCTCAGCACTGCTTTAAAAGTGATGTGAAAATGGAGATTCTGCAGCGCTGCTCCTTCAAACAGAGCTGGGCTGGAGCTGCCCCGTGTGCTCCAGGAAAGCTCCGGGAGCTGCAGGGATTTACCTGAGCTCTGAGCTCTGTGTGGGACCCAAACCTCCAGTCTGGCTCCCTCCCCCTGATTTACCGGGAGGGGAAGGAGATGGATCCCAAAGTGGGGATCACCCTTGATTCCCATTGTATCCTTGCTAGAATTCATTATTTTATGGGTTTTTTTTGTATTTTTGTGTTCTCCACTAAAGCAGCTGGTTCATCAGCGCTGTTCCATCCATGCCCAAACCAAAATAGACCCAAACCCTTTCAATCCCGGTCCCTTAAATCTTCTGCACCTGCATCCTCACGGAATGCAGCTGCTAAATCCTTTGTCCAACAGGCCCCAGCCATCGTCACTGTTACCTGTGGGAACTCTAACGCAGCTTCTCTCTGGCTGTTAAGGACACATCACCATTGTCAACTACCTCCTCAACTACTACCCGGGTCTCGAGGTGGACCAGCGAGACCCCCGGGGCCTGACGGCGCTGATGAAGGCGGCGGTGCAGGGGCGGCAGGACTGCGTCACCGCCCTGCTCCTGGCGGGTGAGCGTCCCCCGAGCCTCGGCGGGTCCCTGGGGACGGCTGGCACTGCTGCCCAGGGTGGGCTGGGTGCTGATGATGCCCTGGAGGGGCTGCCTGGAGCAGAGGCTAGACAAGGTTAAGAGAATAAAGTGGGTATTTATTAAAGGCCTTCAATAGATACAGCTTGGGCAGTCAAAACTCTCCCAGAGGCTGCACCCAAGTTGGATGCTGGCCACGAGTTTTTCACACAGATCTAACTTTGGTCCATTTACATCTCAAGGGTTAATCCTCCAATTAAAACTCCAGGTAATGAAGTCACATTCCCCCGGCTCACTCCCCACCAATTCACTTTTGTTTACACTTTTTGGGGCCTGAGGCTGGAGGGTGTCCTTGAGTTTCAGGCCCAGAGGGATTGTTCTGTCCATCCCAAATGTGAACACAGCAGCCAACGCTTCACATGGAGTTTAGAGTTATGCACTAATGCAGTCCAGGGACTGGAAAATATAAATGCTGAAATCCTAAGGCATGGTGATGCTCTGTGCTGTCCCCAGGAGCTGACCTGCAGGCCGTGGATGCCGTGAAGGGGAAGACAGCCAGGGAATGGGCCAATTTCACCGGCCGCTTCGAGACCACCGTGCGCATCCGGACCCTCCT